ATGTGTGTGTGTGTATGTACTCCAAGCTCAGTGTTAATAGACAACCTTACCTTTCTCTTCTTCTTTCCGGGTGCTTTGTGGTTCGTAGTTCCCACGCCCAGCGTCGTAAGAGACTCAGGCGCTCGTAGAAAGGTCTCAAACAAAGGCTCAACCAACCGCATGCGGAACTCCGTTCGAAGTATCTGGCCTGTGAGCAAGGCACAGGGACCTTCCCACGCATACACACCATGCAAAGTCCCGTTGCTATGGCTCTCCCTGCCTAGCAACACCCATGACAACCGCCACACCCTGCCCATGTGCGGCTTGATAGACGTTGGCGTGATGGTATACGCGTCTCTCAGCACGCCGAACAGGCCCGCGCTGAAACTGGCGTCGGCACAGACCGCGCCAGACGGGAAACGCTCTACCACATCCAGCAACATGCCTGCTGCAGTAGTGAGCCATTCCGTTATCTCCGCCGACAACGTCGGGGGAACGGTGTCTGACACCTCTAAGTCAGTACCGGCATCCTCGTCTCCAGTAGCGAAGGTGGGCGCAGGCGGGCGTGAAGATGTGCTGATGTCCTCGGCCGGATTGAACGCTTTGACGCCGTTCAACGTGTGCAGCAGCTGTCGTACGATGCCCAGGCGATCGCCAAAGACACGTGCCGATGTGGTCTGCTTGGTCTGTGTCTGTGTCTGTGCTTGTGCGTCCTGTAGTGTACGAGTCTCGGTAGCCAAAGGCTTGGGCGCGTGCGCAGGAAGGGCAAGCACACCCACCAGCGCCTGGAACATGCGCCAGTTTGTTCGGCGGATGTGGTCCGTGGGCTGGCTGCCCTCGTCGTATACGTTGCTGAACTTCACTCGCCCGCCTTTAGACTTGGTGTCTAGCATAGCACCACAGAACCGTGCGTACAGCGATGGTATCATCTCTATAGCCCCCGCACAGTCCGCATACTCCCGCTCTGCCGCCTGGCTCGCTTTGGCCTTCGCCCCAGGGTTGGTGTCCGTGTTCTTGCCCTTCCGCGACTTCTTAGCCGAGTCTTTCGGCGGCACCTCTCTCGACTCACTCGCACACACACGCTTAACCGCACACTGAGCCAAGAAATCAAACAGCTGCTTGGTATAGACGGCTGAATAGGTCCCACTGGCTGTGTTTGTGTCTACTGAGCTGCCTGGCGCGTCCTCGTCCGCGGGTGCTACGGCTCCCTCTCCCGCCGCATTCCGCTTGCGTTTCTTACCGCTTGTGGTTGCCAAGGGCACGTCACCATGGTTACCGCTTCTAGACCCCTTCGTGCCGGTCTCTACTATAGCACCACGCATCAGCGCAGCCAGACTACCACCGCCCAGCAGGGAGATATAGTGGGCGATGTGATCCTTGTGCATGAGCAGCCTCACCAGCGTAGCTAGCACAACCCCTCTAATGTTATTAACATACACCTGCACCTCCACGCTGTATGCAGACACAGACGTGTCCTCGCCCTTGTGCGCATGGGTCTGGCGCTCTTGGACCGAACTTTCAGCTGTCTTGGACTTGCTATCCTGTGCGGGACTTCCACTTGAATCCATACCCAGACTTACACCGGCTGTTAATGTGGGTAAGGACAGCAGCGCGGCCGCAGGGGCCAGAAGCTTGGTTATAGTGCTGCTGTAAATCTTCTTCTGGTTACCCTGGCGTTCCTGAGTGGCGCCCAGCGAGGCCCAGCCCACATACACCAACTGGTACAAGTCTGTGTATGTCGCAACAAACGCGGCAGTTAGGTTGAGGTCATCGCTGTGCTGGTTCGGAAGCACGCGATGCAGTACGGTACTGATCCGCGAAACGTAGGCCATCTGTGGGAGCGTAGCACAGCCATGAGTGAGTGGGGTAGGTGGAGAATACAAAAGTCAGTAATCGTAGACGCCTTTCCTATAGTACAGCGCCAGCTCATATATCTATGTTTATATATACAT